CGGTATATTATCCAGAGGGAATCGAACTCTCTCAGTTAAATAATCGCTGTATAATTTCGAAAGGTAGTAAGTCAAAGGTAGACATTTGCAGCGAATTGCTAAAATTTTAGCGTCAACTATATTATCTTTTACGATGTAATGCTCAGCCAAAGGTTTTATGCAGATATTCTAATTGAAATCGGTGACCAGCTTCTAATAAGCACTCAGCATTGTCAACAAGTTGATCATTAGTATTACTGACGTATCCTGTATAGAGATATTCTACTACCATCTCAAATACTTGAGGTTTAATATCCTCAAGAGCTAGTAGATTACTCTCGTCGATCAGTTCATTTAGTACAGGACATCGAGTCTCCAATACATTTTTATGAATTTTAAATTCATTATTCTCAACTTTTATAATAACATCACCATCATCATTCCTGGTTTGGTATAGTTCTAAGAGTGAGTCAGGTACATAACTGTCTATATTAGGTACTCTGTGAGGATGACCAGGAAAGCATGGATTCGTATCCCAGTAGGAGGTGATTTCTATCTCCAGCGTCAGCGTACCATTCGGAATATAATAACTTTCATGTGGAGGTAACGTTTTGATTGGAAATCCAGATCCAATCGAATTTTCCATGTCTATAAGATTCTTACAGTCAGGGCTTACACCTCCTCGACCAATTTTCGAAAACACCTGAAAACGACTATTATATGGACCAACAGCGAAGGCTGACACATAATAGGAATGCTTTATTTCACTAGGATCTACCGCACGTACATAAACATCAAGACATTTTGGACGCAACTTTGATTCTGGGTTGGTTTCTATAATTACACTTACGATCCATTTATCTTCATCGTAAAATCCAGCATTGAATTCATGGTCAAACTGTTTTTTAGAATCCGCAAGAAGATATGAGTCGACGTTCGGAATTTTCCAAACCTCTATTTTTTTTATAAATTTGTCTGTACGTTTTTTTAGTGGTATTATGCTCATATTTAATTGTTACAAAAATATATTCTTTAAAAATTACACTTAAATTTTTTTATAAATGAAATTTTTTTTTTTTATTTTTGTAATAATTTTTTTAATAAAAAAATTATTAAAATTTTTAGATGTCAGATTACTTAATTTTCATAAAAATCACTATTTCCTGGATGTTATTATCTCTAACGACGTAGTACAATGTTTTTTATGTTAAATTACTTTTTAAAGTTTCAATTCACTAAAAAATTCACCACAACCCATTTAGTAATTCAAAAATTAATAAATACTTTATTAACTGTATTAAATAACTATTGAATAATTATTAAAAAATGCATACTAACGTTAATTCATGCTGACATGTAAAACACTGACTATTAACTGATATTAAAATGCACTTATCATCACTATGCTCTTATCAGTTAACACTGATATTAAACACTCTTTTTTAAATTTAAGTACAAAAAGTTTTTCAAAAACAAAGATAGTAAACTTGGGAAAACGGACCACCGTTTTTATTTGTAATGACTATTGCTAAAAATAAGCAAAGATAAAATTTGGAAAAACGGACCACCGTTTTTATTTTTGACGACCATTGCAGCGTAAGCAAATTCAAGTCGGAAAAACGGAACACCGTTTTTATTTATGATTATTATTATTATTATTATTATTATTATTGCAGAGCAAAAGAATTAAACTTTAAAAAACGGGCTTCCAGTTTTTTAAAAATAAATTTAAGTAAAAACGGGACACCGTTTTTATTTATGATTATTGCCAAGATTGAGTAAAGAAATAAAACTTGGAAAAATGGACCACCGTTTTTATTTGTTATTATTGCAAAGAATGAGGAAATTAAACTTCGAAAAACGGACCACCGTTTTTAATTGTAATTATTGCTGAGAATGAACAAAGAAATAAAATTTGGAAAAACAGACTACCGTTTTTATTTGTGATGACTATTGCAGTGTAAGCAGAGAAATTAAAGTCGGAAAAATGGAACACCGTTTGTATTTATGATTATTATTATTATTGCAGAGCAAAAGAATCAAACTTTAAAAAATGGGCTTCCAGTTTTTTAAAAATAAATTTAAGTAAAAACGGGACACCGTTTTTATTTATGATTGTTGCCAAGATTAAGCAAAGAAATAAAATTTGGAAAAACGGACCACTGTTTTTATTTGTAATGACTATTGATAGAATAAGTGAAAAAATTAAACTTCGAAAAACGGAACACCGTTTTTATTTGTTATTATTATTGCAAAGAATGAGGAAAGTAATTAAACTTCGAAAAACGGACCACCGTTTTTAATTGTGATGACTATTGCAAAGAATAAACAAAGAAATTTAACTTAAAAAGACGGAATATCGTTTGTATTTTTAATTATTATTGCAAAGAATATGCAAAAAAAAATAAACTTGAAAAAACGGAAAACGGTTTTTGTTTATGATTATTTTGCAAAGAATAAGGAAAGAAATTCAACTTGGAAAAACAGGCTTCCAGATTAAAAAAAAAAATGTCAGTAAAAACGGAACACCGTTTTTAATTGTGATGACTATTGCAAAGAATAAGCGAAGAAATTAAACTTCGAAAAACGAACTCGGTTTTTCAGAAAAAAATTTAAGTCAAACGGAAGAACGTTTTTATTAGTGATTATGAATGCAAAGAATAATAAGCGAAGAAATAAAACGACTGTGGCTATTCGCAGTTTTTTCTTAACGAAAAGTCCGTGCTTTAGTTTAAAAAACGGAAACCCATTTATTTTTTTTAATATAAACGGATGCTCGTTTTTTCTTGACGAGATTAGCTTTTCACTTTTAAAAAACGTAAACGTAAAGCATCAAATGAATAGAAAAACTTTTTTTATTTTTATTTAAATATTTTTTATTTTAGTACTACAAGCATTTTTACACAAAAATAATAATTTTCCTTGTAAATTTTTTTGTGAACAACCGGGAGTCCGTTTTGCTAAATTAATGCGATTGCTTAATCGGCAATACTAATGACTAATAAAAACGGTGTACCGTTTTTCAAAGTTTAATTTCTTCGCTTATTCTTTGCATCAGAATAAAAAACGGTGTTCCGTTTTTACGTACATTTTTTTAGAAAACTGGAAGCCCGTTTTTCCGAGTTTAATTTATTTATTCCTTGCAATAAGCATCACAAAAAAAAAACGGTGTTCCGTTTTTCCGAATTTAATTTTTTTTCTTCTTTCAAATAACCCCATATAAAGACGGTGTTCCGTTTTTCGAAGTTTAATTTCTTCGCTTATTCTTTGCATCAGAATTAAAAACGGTGTTCCGTTTTTACTTACATTTTTTTAGAAAACTGGAAGCCCGTTTTTTCAAGTTTAATTTCTTTTCTTATTTTTTGCAATAAGAATCACATATAAAAACGGTGTTCCGTTTTTTGAAGTTTAATTTCTTCGCTTATTCTTTGCATCAGAATTAAAAACGGTGTTCCGTTTTAACGTACATTTTTTTAGAAAACTGGAAGCCCATTTTTTCAAGTTTAATTTCTTTGTTTATTCTTTGATTTAAATTACAATTAAAAACGGTGTTCCGTTTTGACTTAAATTTTTTTAAAAACCTGAAAGCCCGTTTTTCCAAATTTAATTTTTTCCCTTATTCTTTGCAATAAAAAAGAATATAAACGGTATTCCGTTTTTCCAAGTTTTATTGCTTTGCTTACTCTTTGCAATGATAATTAACTTGCAAAGTTTTTTACATTTTTTTTGCACAATAATTATTATATACGATAGAACATTCTTTCGTTAATTACAAAGGATAATTAAAAAAAAAAAAAAGTGTTCCTGATTTCGGAATACCTGTTGAATTCTCTTTTCCAATCTTTCTCTTTTCTAATCCTCTTTTCTATCTTATTATTCCTAGTCTATTGTGATAAAT